AGGCACATCCATTGTCACTGTGTGGTGTGACAGCATGTGCAGTGAAAAGTGTGCATGCTAAGTATTCAGAACCAAGACTACAGGAAGGACATGCATACACCATGGTAGTGCTGCCAGAAACACCTCAGAATTATTGTATGTTTGATGTGGAATTAATTTCTGGTCACTGTGTGTTCAGAAACCTCTCACTGGGTTAGGAAGGTATCTCAGTCAATAAAGTGCCTTCAGAGACCTCAGTTTAATTTCAAAATCCATGTTGAAAAGCCAGACTCAGTGGCACATGCTCATAACCCCAGTGCTGGGGAGATGGATACAGGCAGATCCCTGGGACCCAGGCAGCCTAGCCTAGTTGCAACTTCCAGTTAGTGAGAGACCTTGCCTCAAAAAATAAGGTGGTTGAAACATGAGAAATAACACCTGAGGTTGTATTCTAGCCTCTACATGCAAGTACAGATATATGCACACACATGTACACACACATGTGTGCCCACCCAGGACCACATGTACAAAAAAGAAATCGCTTAGTGCTGCCAAATTTTTATGATTCTCATATTCAGTTATGTAGGTTGAGACCTACAGCTTAAGAAGATATATTAGACCTTTCTTAGGTAGCTACTGGGGCAAGGTTTGAGAAGGCTGGAAAGAAGGTACACTCTACAGATGAGGACAAAGCTGCCTGTGGTTTAGCCCTTATCATGCAGACATCACCAGGGACCTCCCCTGAAAAGCTCATTTGTAGCCAGGTAAAGCAAGCACACATTAATTGTCCTGAGAAATACTAAATTCTATAGAAGAGTAACCTTTTGGACTAGCATTCTTTGACTACAGATCAACAAGGTAAACTTCATAAAATGCTTAAATAAATTAAGATGTCACAGATGTGGCTCAGCTCTGCAGGCCCCCAAGCATGACTTCCTTAGAATGAATACAAAGAATACTGAGCCAGTCACTGTGGCAGCACTGAGGTGGAACACTGGGCCAAACATCAGGACTCCTACTCTCAGAGAGCAAGGAACACACCATGCTCAGGAATCTTATATCACCAACTAGCTAAGCATAGAGAAGACATTGGTCTGTTCCATCGTCTCTGGGACCTGATACCTCTGTCTGAACTAATGAATGATGGCCAAGGAGATGAGTTCTGCCAATGACATTTATTCTTCCATCATCAGAACCAAGTTTTCCTTTTGATCAGTTTAAAAAGCAAATGCTTGACATGTTCTTATAAAGACAAGAAACAAGCACTCTTACAATGTTTGTTTTGGCACAAAGCTACTGCTGAGATTAGTGTTTCATAAAAGGATCAGCAGTTTAAGACCTTAAAGGATTCCTGGGACAGGGCTGGAGAGATGGCTCAGTGGTTAAGAGGCTGCTCTTGCAGAGGGCCCAGGTTCAATTCCCAGCATCCACATAGCAACTAACAACCATCCTTAACTCCAGTTCCAGGGGATCCGACGCCCTCTTCTAACCTCAGCGGGCATTGCATGACATGGGTGCACTTACATACATGTAGGCAATACACTCATACACATAAAATTAAAACAGTAAATTTAAAATAAAAAGAGTTCCTGTGATACAGAGGGAACTTGGCTTCCTTTTTATAGCTATATTTTATTTATTTTTACTTTATGTGTGTGTTTTGCCTCCCTCATATGTAAGTGAACCCATGAGTGCAGTGCCCATGGAGGCCAGAAGAGGGTATCAGATCCCCTGGAGCTGGAGTTAAGGATGGTTGTTAGCTGCCATGTGGGTGCTGGGAACATCCGTAAGAGCAGCTGGTATTCTTAACTGCTGAGCTATCTCTTTAGCCCTGGAACTTGGCTTTATATCTTGAGCAATATTTTTCATTATTTTATTGAATGAATAAATAATCCAATATAAATGATGGATAAATAATTTTATTCATTATGAAAGGCTTGGTGTAACTAATTGCTATGGACCATCAAATCACTCTGGCTGAATCCCATAGCTCTTGGGAATCTTCTTTGCCATCATGAAGATGGAAACATGTTCTGTCTCTTCCTTTCCCACTGTCTTAGGGCAACTATCTCATCTTCCTGTGGCCTCCTCAAACCTCACACACAGCTCTCCCTTTCCTTTATTCTTTTCAATTTCTTAGCAATAAAAATAGTTAATAAAGAGACAGGCACTCCTGGGGGCTGGAATGGGCTAGTAAGCTTAGAGAAGGCATGTTCTCAAAAAGTGCCTTGACACAGTGAGTTTTGATCCTTTCTAGGTCATCTACATAGCACCTACCTTCTCCCAAATTTGTATTTGGCCTGTCTTGACCCTGAACTTTGACCTGTCTTCCTACTTTTCCTTCCTTACCCTCAACTTTGACCTCTTCCTGCCTCATGGATGCATCCTATGCATCCAGGAATGTCTTTTTCTCCTGCACCAAGTTCGCAAACTGAGTCTATATCCATTGTCTGGTTTCCCTCATGTTCCCACAGAGGACTGCGCCTTATCACCCAGGGCCACCCTCCTCCTGTGCCATAGACACCAGTCCTTACCCTCCTTTCATCTTTTGTAGAACTCTCCAGAGAGCTACCCACATCAGTACTACACCACCTCTTTGTCTTTGCATTCATCCACATGAAAACAAACATTGGTGGCTTTCACCTCAACAATCCCCTCCTTAACCACTCATAGGTCCACAGCATTTCTCTCCATGGCCTCAGATCCCCCATTCATGTTAGTCTGATCACTGCACCCTCTATGAAACCTGCTGCTGGATGCAGCACCAGTAGCCCCTATACAGAATCCTAGACGCATGTCCCAATCCTTGGGAGGTGCTGTTAGTCATATATTCCTTCCTGAAGCACTTTGTTCCACTTGTGTTTTTTTCCACCCACTGGCCTAATTGCTCTTCTCTCAGACTGCTGCTTCTCAGCCTCCCCCCAAATCCCTGATGCAGCACCGTTTTCAATATTCCTGCCCCCTCCTGCTGCAGTGTTCCCCAGAGGAACATTAACCTGGCTTGGGTTTCCACCTAGCCCTGACTTTCCTAAGTTTCGGGCTTACATATTTAGCATCCTACTCCTGGCCTCCCCTTAATATATAATAGAAATCTCATATTCAAAATAAAGCCACAGTACACTCACTTTGTGAGGGTACATGTGTGCCATGGTATGCATGTGGGGGTCAGAGGAATAAGCTTTCTCTTTCCACTATGTGGGACCCAGGGATCAAGCTCAGGTCCCTAGAATTAGGTGGGCAAGTGCCTTCATCTGCTGAGCCATTTCCATAACATAGATGTCATCTCCTAAAACAGATGTCATCTTTAATACCGTCCCTCTGATCATTCCTCACTTTCAACCCAACATTGCAGCTGTTCGATCTGCCTCCAAAATACATCTTGAGCATGCCCACTTTTCTCCACGGTCAGGACTCAGGTCTTCTAAGCCACCCTCTGTTCCAGCTTCAGAAACGCCACTATGATGAACTTATATGCTCTTTCCCCCAAAAGAGAGTATATCTTTAACCCTAAATTATATAGTGTCACTTTCCTCCTTCAGAACATTTTCTTCTAGAATAAAATCCAGACTCAAAATTGGGGATGTAGTTCAGTTGGTAGAGTGTTTGTGCAAATCCTTGAGTTAAGTATGGTGACCACCCCTCTACTCCCAGCACTTGGGAGGTGGATGCAAGATAATCAGAAGTTGAAGGTCATCCTCAACTACATAGCAAGTTTGAGGCCAGCCTGGATATATAAGATCTTGAAAGAGAGGGTGGAGGGGAAGAGAGGGAAAGAGAAAGGGAAAAGAAAGGGAAGGGAAGGGAAGAGAAGTTTAGGTTGTTTCCTATCTTCAAACCTTGGAAGACTCTAGGTCTTAGTATGCCTGACTCCTACCTGTCAGGTCCCAGCTCAGTCACCTGCTTAAAGCCTTGGACTGCATCTGACCCAGTCCTGGTGTTTTATAAAATGTCACTTCCCGCTGGGCATGGTGATGCACGCCTGTAGTCCCAGCACTTGGGAGGCAGAAGCAGGCGGATCTCTCTGAGTTCAAGGCCAGCCTGGTCTGCATCATGAGTTCCAGGACAGCTTGGGTTACAGGGAAACCCTGTCTCAAAAAGACGAAAAAAAAAAAAAAAAAAAAAAAGTCACTTCCCCACTAGAGTGACATTTCTTTGAAAATAGCCTGTTTTTTTGCTCTCTGTCCCAACCACCTGGACTATCCCTTGCCAAATAGATACTTAGTTTGATAAATGATAGGATACCAACAGTAAAAAGTTACAGATGACTCAATGTGTTTTCATGAACTGAGGCTTCATATCCAGGTTGTGGAGATGGCTCAGCAGGTAAAGACACTTGCCCACCTGAGCCTGGGGGCCTGTGTTTGATCCCCAGGACCCATATGGTAGAAGGAGAAAACCAACTTCTCTGATCTCAACTCTCATACTCTGGCATGCGCACATGTGTGTAACTGTGAGAGTAACTGCTACCATTCCTACTTTGTGGACAAGAGAAACAAGGCCACCTGGTACCCTCAGTCACATACCAGACTACTTTTGGAATGCCTGGACCCTTACTGAGGAGCACTGTGTGATTATATACTGGCAGGAAGACTGACCACCCAAGCAAATTCCAGCATTGCCCGTTGCTACTTCACCTACTGAAGCTCTCTGTGCAGCTGTAATATAAAAGCTAATAGTAGCACCCTTATTTGGTGGTTAAATGAGATAAATACTTAGGACAGCATCTTATCCCTACTAAGTGCTTAGCGAATATTAACCACTCTCAGTGTGGCCTCAGTGCCACTGTGAATACCTCTGTGAATGTGATCTGAAATGTCCCAGCAGAGCTCAGTTTTCACAAAGAATTTGGAAAGGGTTTGAGCTTACCAAGTTCCTGGGAAGGCCCTAGACTGGTGAGCTGAGTTATGAAGAGCTTGGGGAGCCATTACTTTTCTTTGAAGGAAACAATGGGTGGAGGTGACAATAGAATCAGTACAATGGGTTTGCTTGCATTATGATGTAGTTTTTTCTCCTCTTCATAGAACTCCATGAAGGTGATGTTCAAATGCCTCTGGAAAAACTGTGGAAAGGTGTTGAACACGGCAGCGGGTATCCAGAAGCACATCCGGGCCATTCATCTCGGGTAAGGCAGCACACCCTTCCCTGGGGGTAGCCTTTATCAGCGCAGCCCCAGGCACCTCAGCTCTCAGAGATTGCACTCTATGTTGTAATTTAGGAGCTGCCTCCTCTTGATCCCCAGAGAAGGCTTCTACTGACAATTAGCCACTATATCACAGGACTGTAGCGCATCCCTGAACTACTCACCTTAGGCAAATCCTTTCTCTGAGTCCCAGTTCCCTCTGAAAATGGCTTTCAAGACAGTTCTACAGGGTCGTGTGTGAGGGCCAAAGATAAACTGTGCAGGAGACATATTTTAGTTTGCTTTCTATTGCTGTGAAAACACTGACCAAAACCAACTTGGGGAGGAAAGGATTTAGTTGGATTACAGCTTAAAATCCATCATCAAGAGAAACTAAGGCCTGAATTCAAGATAGGAGCCTGGAGGCAGGAACTGAAACCGAGACCATGGAGGAGTGCTGCTTACTGGCTTTCTCCCCCTGGCTTGCTCAGCTATTTTTCTTATATAGCCCAGACCCACCTGCCTAGGGATGGCACTGCCCACAGTGGGCTGGCCTTCCTATATCAATTAGCAATCAAGAAAATGCCTACACACATGCCCATGGGCCCATCTGATGGAAGAAATTCCTCAAGTGACATTTCCTCTTTCCCAGGTGACTAGTTTGTATCAAGTTGACAAAAACTAACTAGCACAAGACACAAAGTCTAAAGCACAACCACAGAGGCTACTGGACTGGGAATTGTAGATGTACTTCAAGGGGTCCTTGAACCCTTTGATGCTGTCTTTTTTCCCCCAATTGGACAGTGTTTATAACTGTGAGCCTCAGAGACCTATATTACCCCTAAAGGGTTTAAGATTCAATCCTCAGAGTGCTTTAAAAAAAAGATGTTAATCATCACACTAATCCATGCTGCTGTTCCTCCTCTAATGAGGCCTGACTCAATCTTCTGTTGCTCTAATGATCACTGATTTGTTTGTTTATAATTGTTTCAGTTTTTGAGACAAAATCTCACTATGCAGCCCCAGCTGCCCTGAAACTTGCTATATAGACCAGACTAGCCTCAAACTCATAGAGATCTACCTGCTTCTCCCTCCCAAAAAGACAAAAAAAAAAAAAAAAGTACACACCTTTTCTCTTCAGTGTCACATAGTTCTTATACACCAGGGACCAATCCTCATCTGTCCCCCTGGAGGATACATGATCTCCCTCAGGTCTGTGTGTCTATTAGTAGCACTTGGCAACCGGCAGCAACTCAGCCTGTGACTGAAAAGGAAGTGGGGACAGGAGTAGAACAGGCCCTTAGTCTTTGTTCCTCTTTGTGAGGTCTTCGGTGGTATGCTTGTCAGAAAGCCAAGCTCCACCAGACCTGATATGGTACAAAGACACATCCCCAGATGCCAAAGCCCAAGAGCTGAGGGAAAATGGAGTGAGGCTGGCGGAAGCCACTGATTGACCAAGCAGAAAGGCCTGGGGGACGGACACTTTACTTTAGCTTTATGTTGGAATTGTTTGTAGGGAAATAAATTTGTTCTGAGTCAGTGATCTCTGGCTGCCATCAAATGTGCCCATGGAGTGAAGTTGCCCCTGGCCTCTCTCTGCCATTCCAGAGAATCAGGTGTCTGATAAGTCTTTCTTGGGAAATGAACAAGTCTAGGTCATGACAGCTATTTTAGTTTGCTCAAACTTTCTGTGAGAAAGTGCAGTTTTCTTCCACTCGGGGAAACTTTAAAGCACATGGGAAGATAGTATTCTGGTGAGAGTGGAAGGTGAGGCCTTCAGCATAGTCCTTATCCTTATTTACTAAACACTCAGGACTGCTTCCTGTATGCAGTGCATTAATGGGCCCTCTGTTTACTTACTTCACCCTCACAATAATGAAGTTTTCTTGAAATCGTGTGTTATATTAAGACACTGAGGCATGAGGCTGTGTTCAGACTGCCAGAATCACACCCACTTAGCATCAGTCACAGTCCAAACCCGAGAACTATACTCCAGAATGCATGACCTCAGCCACCAGGCTCTGTGCAGTCCCCAAAGTCCCAGCATTCCAGTGTCTGCTTTCAGATCACTTCATCTGAACATCCTGTGAAAAAATCAGCACCTCTCCAGTCACTTGCTAAGGACACTCATATTGCATAATCTTTTTTCTAGGATTTAATAACATCTCATATACTAGATATCTGTCAGGAATTTCTCGTTTATCTTACCCACTAGACTATAAAAATCTCATCAAGGCAGAGTCTATGTTTTGTTCACTATTAGGAGACACAATATTCTAGATAAAATAGAAGTTCAATAAATTATTCTTAGATTAAATAGCTGACTGGCTAGATAGGTGGGTGGACAAATAGGTGGTAGGTAGACTCCTTTAGGAAGTCTTACTCCATTTGCTGTTGGCAATGACATAATACCTCACATCAATTAATTTATAAAGAATGAAAATGTATTTGGCTCTTAGTTCTGGCTGCTGAGAGTTCACAACCATGGTACAGACATCTGCTTAGCATCTGGTGAGGGTCTCCTCGCTGCATCAGAACCTGACGTGGTCAGACTGAGCAAGTCCACTAGCTTCTTTTCCTCTCCTTACAAAGCCACTAATGCCATTTTGGGGCCCCATCCTCTAGACCCCTTCTAATTCTGATTAGAAAATAATCAAAATTAGGAAATAATCAGTAAATACCATTAACATCAGAATTTGGAGACTAAGTTTCTTACAAACAACCTTTTAGAAGAGACACATTTAAATCATAGTAGAAGCTGATAAAGATTCCATCAAAGTGGCTAGCTGAATATTTCAGGGTAAATACGAGGTTGCCCAGCAGGCAGAGAGGAGAGGCAAGAGGGCAGATTGCTGAGCATTTCTGCTTTGCTCTCTCCTGCAATAGGCGAGTTGGAGAATCTGACTACAGTGATGGAGAAGAGGACTTCTATTACACGGAGATCAAGCTCAACACGGACTCAGTGGTGGATGGCCTGAGCAGCCTGGCCCCAGTTTCACCCTCCCAGTCCCTGGCTTCACCTCCTACGTTCCCCATCCCAGACTCCAGCCGAACAGAAACTCCTTGTGCCAAAACAGACACTAAGCTGATGACACCACTGAGCCGCTCAGCTCCCACCACCCTCTACCTCGTGCACACCGACCATGCTTACCAGGTGACTTTCCAGGAACCCTGACCCTGAGCGGTAGTCATCTGACTGGGGACTGTAAGATAGCTGAATAGAAAACAGCACCACACAGGGCAACCCAGTAACTCAGCTTTACTTTTCCTCCTCTTAGTCATGATCTTAAACCACACCTGATAGCTTATGCCTATAATCCCAGCACTTGGGAAGCAGAGGCAGGAGAATGTCTATGAATTTAAGGCCAGCCTGGTTTACATAGCAAGTTCCAGGCCTGGCAGGGCTATACAATGAGACCCTGTAAAAACCAGAATCTCAGGGCTGGAGAAATGGCTTTGTGGTTAAGAGTACTGGGTGTTCTTGCAGAAGACCTGGGTTTGAATCCCAGAACCCACATAGCAGCTAACAACTAACTGTCCATAACACCAGTTTCAGGGCATCTGATGCCCTCTTCTGTTCTACATAGGTATTGCATGACACAGGTGCACTTACATGCATGCAGTACATGCATATACATAAAATAAAAGTAATAAATAAAATATTTTTTAAAGAAGGAACAGAATCTCCCTCTAAGTGGAGACAAGCCCCTGTGCCTCCCTTAAGGGTTATTCTTGTGGGGCAATTCAGGGACCTGGCTAGGGGACCACATTCCTAGAGAACAGGTTAACCTTAACATAATATGGTTTTTCTTCTCAGAATTCTCCCTATAGTGCAGTTTCTGTGAGCCACCATGAGGTTTTGTTGGGCCTTTCTGCCTTTTCCTTTTGGATGTTGGCCAGAACCTAAGTATGATTTTAAGCTCTTTTACAAATGCCTTGGGCTTCTTCATTCATTTTCTAATGCTTCCCTCCCCACTCTGCCTGCCTGTCCCAAGTGGCTGACCCTAGGCAGTCTTATCTCAACAACATGACTTTTGTTCCTTCTCTTCTCCTTTCTCCTCCTCCCTTCCAGGCAGCTGAGAAAGTCACAGCTTACCTGCCCTGGGGTTTTCCTTTTAAACTCTAATTGTCCTGGAGCTTCTGTTTAAGTTCATTCTTGATTCCTTTTATTAATGAGACCAAGAACCCCAAGAGGAGACTCCAGTTCCTAGGTATCATGTGATGGCTCTGCTGGGACTCTCCAAGATTCCTGCCTTTTAGTTGTTTAATTGGTAGAGAAAACAAGCCTGTTCCTGAGGCCTCTAGATGGTATCAACCCTGTCTCAAAAAAAAAAAAGAAAACTCTCCTATGCATATTTGTAATTGTATTCTCCTGCCCATTTTTCAAAAGCTTTCCAAATAACTGTATCCTATCCAATTAAATTGAAATGGTTATTTTAATCATTTTCTGATAATTATGTATCTACATTTTTATCTATGGTAGTTCTCTACCATCTTTATAACTACTTCTGAGCTGGGCATGGTGTTGCATGCCCGGAATCCAAGCACTTCGGAGGTGGAGGCAGCCCCGGCCACTTGAAATCCTTTCTCAAAAAAGCAAAAGCCAGACCAGCCTCAGCAGTGTAGTAAGTTTGAGGCCATTCTGGGTCTCAAACAAAAACAAGAAAAAATGAAAAACAAACAGAAACACTACTATGAACATCTCCCTAGTGTAGCTTCTTTTTTTAATTCTCAGAAATGTAATTCTTGAGTCTTCTGGAACATGAATGAACGGTTTCTGATTCTTCCTGTGCATTGCCAAAATACTCCCAATTGTGCCAGGTAAAAATCTACTGTAACTAGCCAAAATATTTCCAATTTGAAAGGCAGGCCTGGAGAGGAGAAACTCAGCCACTTAATTTAGCAAACTTGAGCTGAAGAACAGTGGAATAGAGCTAATGATTAGAGTGACAAAATAACTTTCATTCATGAGTCTTGTTATGTTGATCAAAAAAATGATCCTTTGTTCCTTTGTTCTTACTTGTTAGGAGTCATGGGTATAAACCAACGTAACTAAGTCATTTTTCTCATCCATATGAGAGTGTTGTAATACATACATATACCATATATGGCCCTTCCCAGAACAATATCCATAATACTGGAACTTTTCTCTTTCTAGATACTATAAATATTCAGTATTACTAGAAATGTAGCAAAGGGAAAAAACAGAAAAACAAAAAAACTCATCTCTAGTCCTAGTGAGCCTCTGGGTAATATTTTTTATATCCTTCAACACTTTTTTTTTTTTTTTGGTCTTTTTGAGACAGGGTCTCTCTGTAGCCCCAACTGGCCTGGAACTCACTGTGTAGACCAAGCTGGTCTTTAACTCACAGAGATCTGCCTGCCTCTGCTTCCCAAGTGCTGGGATTAAAAGTATGTACCACCACATTTGGCACAAGTATACTTTTAAAATATATTTTTTTTAATTTTGTGTGTATGAGTGTACTGCCTGCATGTATGTAAGTGCACCTGTGCCGTGTAGTGCCCATGAAGGCCACAGGAGGGCGTTGGATCCCCTGTAACTGGAGGGAGTTATGGACAGTTGTTAGCTGCCATGCAGAGGACCTGGGTTTGATTCCAGCACCCACATGGTGACTAACAACTCCCATAACTCCAGTTACAGGGGGATCCAACGCCTTCTTGTGTCCTTCGTGGGCACTGCACAGCACTGGTGCACTTACATACATGCAGGCAGTACACTCATACCCATAAAATAATAATAATAATAAATTTTAAAAAGACATCTATGGTGGCCCTGCTTTTACTCTGCTTTTTTTTTTTCTACATGATATATCATGAGCATGTCCCTTTTTCATGAATCTTCAACAATAGCATCTTTACTACCTCTTCAGGTATCATGATGTTGTTACCTATTCTCTTATTACTAGACATTGGTATGTTTCTTTTTTAAAATTTTTTTAAAGCAGGCATTTATTATCTGATTGTTTTTAAATTTTTTATTACATTTTTATTTATTTTGTGTGTGTGTGTGTGTATGTGTGTGTGTGTGTGTGTACATGTGCATGGACACACACATGCCACTGTGTGCAAGACGAGGTCAGAAGACAACTTTCAGGGGTTGGTTCTCTCCTTCCACCATATGAGTCTCAGGGATCAAACTCAGGTCATCAGGCTTGTCCAGAGGTGCCTTTACCTGCTAAACCATCTTGCTAGCCCATTTTTTTTAACATGTCTATACAATAGACATCCTTGTATCCATTACCCTAGAACTAATCCTTAAAAGTGAAATAGCTAGTGTGCAGAATGCTGAGAATTTCAGTGCACATCATTAAAGTACACCTCCAAAATATTTCAGCTTACATTTCCCATTTCCTAATTTATTGTCAAAATACTTATTTCCCAGTTTGGTAATGAAGAATTACTTACGGATATCCAACAGTGGGTATGTGTGATTAAATTTCAGAATTGACAACTAAAAGCCATCTCCTTCTATACCTTAGGAAGATTGTTTCTATGTGTATAAAAAGCTCATTTCTCGCTACTTACTTTGACCTTGTTTAATGTCTGTCTATTACTGTGAGTTATTAGTACAACTGTCTGTTCCTGAGGCCCAGCGTTGGTAATGATAGCTCAAGACTCTGAGGAAAATCGTTCTTTCTTAACAGTTTTCTCTGTTTCCTGTTTAATAGGCCACACCCCCAGTGACCATTCCAGGATCGGCCAAGTTCACCCCCAATGGCAGCAGCTTCAGCATTTCTTGGCAGTCTCCTCCAGTCACTTTCACAGGCATTCCAGTAAGTAGACAGACAAAGCAGCCAGCAAGGTGGGCTGGGCCAAATGTAAATTTAGAGAACAGACTGCAGAAGCAGAAAGAAAAAGATAAGTCAGTTCCCAAAAGCAATACTACATTTCATACCTTTCCTTTTTAAAATTTTTTTGAGAATTATATATATATAAATTGTTTTCACCCTTCTGTTCCTCAAAATCCTCCCACGCGCCCCCTACTCCTCTCAGTATCCTGACTTCTTTATTATTGGTGTGTGTGTGTGTGTGTGTGTGTGTGTGTGTGTGTGTGTGTGTGTGTGTGAATAAACAACCTCCTGAGTATATTTAGTGGTGCTATTATATACATGTGTTTAGGGCCTTCCACTTGGGATTGGATAACTTATAAAGGAGCCATCCCTGGAGAAAACTGATTCTTCCTCTCTCAACAGCCTGTAGTTCTCCATCTAGATGTGCAAGCTTGTGAAACATCCCCCACCCACATTGTCATGTCAATTGGTGCTATCATTATGTAGATCTTGTGTGGGCAACCATATTGTTGCAACTTCATGGGTACAGCTTCCTTGTTGTTGTCTAGAAGACACTATCTAGTAGCAGGCATCCTGGTCCTCTGGTTCTTACAGTCTTTCTGCCCACTCTTCTGCAATGTCCCCTGAGCCTTCGGTGTAGAGATTGCATTTTAGATGTATCCCACCATCACTTATTCTCTGCATTTTGACTAGTAGTAGCTCTCTTGTAATCATCTCCATCTGTTGCAAAAAGAAGCTGCCTTGATGAAGGGTGAGAACTACACTTATCTGTGGGCTTAAGAATTCGTTTGGAGGTGCTGGAGAGATGGCTCAGCAGTTAAGAGAACTGATTGCTCTTGCAGAGGACCTGGGTTCAACTCCCAGCACCCACATGGTGGCTACGAACCGTCTTTAACTCCAGTTCCAGGGGAATCCGAAGCCCTCTTCTGACCTCCGTGGCATTGTACAACATGGGTGTACTCACATACTTGCAGGCAATACAATCATACACATAAAATAAATAAATAAAAAATAAACGTAATAATAAAATTTTTTGTCATCTAAAAACATTTTATTAAAAACATTTTATACTTAATAATGTATATTTGTGTTTCATTAAGTCCATCTATTTTTACTTTGTAGGGTACATACCACTTTACGCCAGACTGGAAACTGAATGAAATTTAGCCAGTTCTTTTGAACTAAAGATTCTTAATATACAACATCTTAAAAGGGACAATCATTTACAAAAGAACAGAAAGTCTCCTTACGAAGAGTTCTCTGATCTACATAACATCAGACTCTTTGCTTTGTAACCAGAAAATTGTTTATATGCGTGCAGTTCTTCCCAACTGATGTGATGTTTTTTGTGTGACCCTGAAGCTATGAAAAGTGCCACAATTCGAAATTCTCAGAGACGTTGGTTCTTTTTAATCTTTCATTTCAGCATTTGAGCTCATCTTTCTTACTTACATATACAAGCAACCCATGGCATATAAGCATTTGTGCTGTTTCATGAAAACCACAGCAAGAAATTCAAATGTTGATTGGCATGGTAGACTACAGTACCTGTAGGATTGCGTAGGCTCCTGAACATATGAACCCCACGACAAGAAGTGATTGACTTTTTTTTTTTTGCTTTGAAAAATTATTATTTTTTTATCATTATACTTTTTTAAATTTTTAATAACTATATGATTGGAAGCTTTTCACTACAGCTTTAACATATTCAGTAACACACTCCAGAGCAACAGTACATCTCTTTCACAAGTCGGTGCAAGTTTCTAGGTTCACGGTTGAATTAATACAGTTATACATTATTGAACTCAGTATAAGCCCTGTAAGACATTAAAATTGAATGAGTTTTTAACCTTTAAAAAAGATCTACATTTCATTTTAGAATATATTGTTCCTTGCAGACAGACTCATTGTCTTTGCTACTAACACTGAGATGTTGGCGCTTGCATCTCTAATCTGTATGTATCTGATTATTACTAGACATAATCGGTTACACTTGGATCCTTGGCGCCTGTGTATGTCTATAAAGTCAACGGGCAGATTTCAATGGTATTGTTTATCACCTCTACTAACTAGCATGACATAAATTCCCATGCTTCTTCCTCAAATATAATGCATTTTTTAAAAATTTGTTGACTTTTTTTTGTGTGTATATATATCACACAGAACATCCCAAACCATCTCATTCAACTGTACACCCATTTCCCAGATAGCACCCTCCCATAGCCTCCCTCCCCCTACTAGAGCCCTTATACTCTGATATCCCTGCTACTGTCTGCTGTGTTGTCGGCACCCCCAGCCATTCCCCACTACTTGCCCTTCTGGTGAATCTAGTCAGCCTATCTAGAGGTCTTTGTTTTAGGAGGGTCAGCTGTTCCTCATCTAGCAGTAATCAGTTGTCAATATTCCTTTAGATAACATTGGGGTCTGCTGTTCATTTTTCCAGTTCTATCCTGGGTTAATATCTGAGAGTCCCTTGAGCCACCCTGGCCAACAACTCAAAAGAAGGTATCACCTGTCTGGCATTGTTGCTTGTTATGTAGCCTTTAGCTATGCATATGAACTCTTAAGAAGTTATATTGGCCCCTTTTATACTTTCCTTTTGGGTGTTTAAGGCCATACAGTTGGTCCAGATAAACCAATTTATTTGTACTCTTAAGGTCATTAGAGGATCTGTTCCTCAGGGGTCACGTGGGCTTGGGAGGAGCCCCTGGCTCCTTTCTTTTACCAGTTCCACCTATGTGAAGGTAAGTCAAACGTCCTGCTCGACCATGGTTGGCTTTGCTTGGAAGCATGGAGGAAATGATTCCTCTATTTGACCCTCCTCTTTGTAGACTGGACACTGGTTCAAGTCCATCTTGTGGGGTCTCCTTGGCCTCCTTGATCAAGAGGACAGGTGACCCACCACCATTATAGGACATTTTGAGAGATGCTCATAGTCCCCTGGAACTAGTCGACCTAGGAGGGCAAGGAGCAAAAACTGTCCTTTATGTCCCTCTGACCAAATTATTATAGGCCTCAAAGTATGTCTGTTAAACACCCAAGAAGGTTAGTTCCACCAGTCTGGTACTTTTAATTACTGTGTGTCATATAGATAAATCTTGGGCAAAGACCAATTGTTCTCAGATAAACGTTACCTAGACGTATATTTCTTGATCTGCTATGTATAGTTTATCAGTAGGTTGTAGGAGTAATATGGTCCCCTCTGGTTTTCAAAACTAGCTAGGCATTGTTTATCTCTTGCATTGTCTTACCCCTCCATCGTGGTTTTCCCACTTATGGTGCCCCCATTGCCCCCCTTTCTCCCTTACTAATACCCTCCTCCTATGGTCCTACCTCTCTTGAGCCCCTTCTTTCCCTCTATCCCCTAGGTTCCTTGTATACCCTTCCCCCCTCCTTAAACTAACCCAATTTTTATCCATATCTCCCTTATTAAGGCCTGTTTCCTACTGTTCTTCTCTTTCAGGTTCTTTTTTCT